TTTCTGGGGGCATTGCTTCCCCCCCCCCCCCGGGAAAAGCAAGTTTCCCTTCCATTTATAGCCAGATTGATAGGAAATCCTCTAAGAACACCTGTCTGGATCCAACCAGTTTCAATCTAAGACAAGGGAACAGAGAAACAGACTTTCTTGTGAATAGAGGGAAAAAAAGTTTTAAATAAGGTTACATTAGCGGTTTGTTCTTAAACAACCATCTGAAATAGCTATAAAGCCCTACTCTACCAAATAAAAATCAAACACAGAGAACCCAACTCCATGTTACAAAACTCACAACAAAGCAACCTATTCCTAAAGCACTAACAACAACTTTAAAATAGCTCTCAGCTATCAAAAATCAGGAGGAACATCTTTATAGCTCACCCTGAAAGGCTTGTTTAAGGAAACAAAATCACCTGCCTTGACTAACTGAGTTGGAATAGGGCACAGCTGCCTTTCCTTAGTCCCTGAGAAGCTGAAATCACACCCAGCTAATATTCAGCTGTTCCTCAACCAGAGACCTATAAGACCACCTGTAGAAACCCAATTCTACAATGAACCCAGATTCTCCCGTCCCCTGTACCTTTTACAGTTATTCACGTGTGTACAAAGTGAGGTTAAAATAGGTGTAAATAACCACCACTTGAACTGGCATGCGTTTCTCCCTCACTTCGTGTTACTGTAGATAACTACATAACTGTCATAATGACTGAGAAGCTGCCTGTACAAGTCCTCAAATTTCAGGGCTTCAGGAGCTGGCCTCACTACCTTTGTATGAATCCTCATCTCTCACCAGAATGATGGGCGTCTGCCCTGTTACAGAAAGAAAGTGAAATAATTCTGAGCTTGTTTATTACATTGTGCACCCTGTTTTGCTTGTGACTACCTACCTCGAAGCAGTTGTGTTGATTTAAAATTAGAGGGCTAGAATTGCTTACTAGGCAAGAAAGACTTTTCACATTCCTCATCCCCTCTTATAATATTGGTGAAATACCAGAAGAGTAATAGCAAACATTGTGAAATAGGATAGGACATCAAAGAAAATGTCCATGCCTCAGAGGTACCCCAAACTTTCCACAGTAGTGTGCAAACCTCCTGTATACTTTGGCACCCAAAGTCTTATGAAATATTTTCTTTGCGTAGTCTAGACATTCATCTCTATATTCTAACTTAAACCTGCAGGAATGCTTCCAGTATAAAATTAGAACAAGTGCTTCAGAAAACAAGAGCTCTATTAGTATATAAAAAAGCTTATGACAGGCAAACTTTAACTTTAATAATAGCCTTATAGTCCACACTAGGATGCTGTTTAGAATCCTGGACATATGTTTAAGTATATTTTCTTGTTTGAATATATCTTAAAATTATTGAATCAACAGCCTACAGAAGTGACAGTAATTTGAATATGACTCATTTTTCGGGTTACAGGATATTAGCTGGATTAAGTGAATCCAAGAAAATCTTTGCCTAAAAAGTTAAAAAAAAAAGATTAAGCTAATTGGCTATAAATGGTGACACCAGGGACCATAGATTCCAGGCAAGATTCTGTGTAGCCATGGAATGAGAGCTCAGACCTTAGGATTCATAGTAATTCATCATTATCTACGTGCTTATCTAGATAGTTATAAAAATGCTTTTATTTCTACACTGTCCATAATCAAGTCTTTGTGCTGGATATTCACAGACTGTTGTGAAGTCCAAATATTATGCTATTTGTCAAGTGTTATCATTGAGAACAACAAGCTGCTGCTTTGAAAGGAATTTTTTCCCCCTGCACACTAAAGGTTTTAAAAATAAACCTTGTACACAAGCAAATGTAACTTTGAGGAAGATTAATGATTATTATAACAGTAGATATTAAAAATAAATGGTATAACTGTATAGAACTCATTGATTTACTCTCTTAATGCTCTCATAATCTTCACATGAGTTTTGTAATTCATATACTGTTTTGTCTTGTGGGTTATCTGAAGCTTGTAAATGTAAGACTGCTGTCAGATTTGTTGGTAAGAAAATCAATAAAATTAGATTGGCTCCACTTTGATTGTTGAAGATGTTAAAGACTATCTTGATGTGGTGTGAAATTGCTGTGATCCTTTACTGAACTCAAGACAAAAAATGTAGTACAGTGTATCTTCTCTGTTACACATTCCTGCAATGGATATTTCATAATGGAGGTCTGTTGCCAACACAGACTAAAAACATGCTACTCTCCTGTAGACCCATTCTTTCCTCAGCTGTAAATTCCAGCACCTGGTATTGCTTTCCTCCATCAGACATGTATTAAGAATGCTGATATCCATTTGACTTTCTATTTCCAGGTGCAGACTCCTATTTTTACCACCTCCTGAATTATATTATTTAAAAGATGGAGATTAAAATAATCCTTCTCCTTTCCCCCATGACAGATACCTATCTGTAATATCCTTTGAGAGATGATTTATATATATGTTTTGATGTAAAAATAAGGATGTGGACATTTCAGGGGATTAATAATATGATCCAGAGTGATGAGTGCTTCAAATCCAATTCAGGTCAGTAGCTGAAAGTTATGGCCATCTAATGACTGTTGTGTGGGCTGTGCTTAGTTGGGAAGCTCATGTTAGCTCCCAGTGGACTAAAGCAATCAGCAAGTAGGCCAAAGACTGGCTAAATATGTAACCTGAACTGCGGGTCAGAGGTGATCAGTTCATATCAGGGTTGAGGATATGAAGAATATGAGGGAGGTTCTTTCAATCCTGTACCTCTTTTCTCGGTTTTATTCTCTAGAAATGTCACACTGGAACTTCCTTTGAGCACTTCCTTCATTTTAAAATGCTTTTCACTTTGTTTCTAGACACAGGATAGGGTTATATTGTCATACAGATATCCAAATTCTTCTTCTGTCCATTTCCCAAGGTAAGAGCTGCCCCATCATGCTTATTTTCCCTATTTTCATTAGAGCAGACAATAGTGCCTATGAAATCACAAAAACCTTTCCAGAGTTGAAGAAATACCTGGTATGCTAGCTAGAACAGGAGGAGATGATTTCAACTGATAAAGTGTTTCTCTATATTTAGTAGGCAGAATCTTGGGGGAAAAAATAGAATGGAATTCATAGTGTTTGATTCCTGCTTTCATCTTCTTAGTTGTTCCATGTATACTATTAGAACCCAGACATCCAGTAAGCTTTATATCAGTGCAATGCATGGAAAGCTGCAGTTTGTGGATACCCACTTGAGATGGAGGGGAACAAGGAACTCACTTGCATAAGTCCTGCAATCTGCTTTCTTATGTACAGTTTTGTGCATAGCCTGTTTATGTAGGCTAACATGCACTGCAGTCCAGTCACCACTTGGGACAACACAATGACCACTTGGGGCACCTATTCTGGATGCCTTGGAACTTAATTACAGTATTCTTATACCTAGTCAGGTCTTAGCTAGCAGCAATGTTAGCTTCCCCTCTTCTGGGTTTTTCACTAACCCTATATTCTTACTGTTGTGAATTTTCTTCCGAATAGCCTATACCTTTGAGCCTAAGCAAACGAAACCTTACAAAGAAATAAAAAGGCTGGAAACAAGATAAACCTGGAAGTTTTATATTTGAAATTAATTTTCTATAGGTTTCCTGCTAGTAACAGTGTTTCACAATGGTATATGTCAAAAAGATAAAGGCTTCCAATGATAATTCGCTAAAAGTAGTAAGAAACACTTATGTGCACTATTTTGAGATTACTTGGTCATCTGTTGTGTTATGTCTTTGAACTGTACTGTCTGTCCAGTTATTTTGCAAGTGAATGCAGAGTGCTAAGTACACTGTCAGCACTCAAAAAATAACAACAACAAAATGGATTGCATTTTCAATCACAAAGTATATTTTAAAGCATTTCCATGCTGTCTACATTTTTAATGCTATATCACGGCAGTTTCAATGTTTGCAACAGCTGCCTTTTTTTCCAATGTCCTATGATCACTTACATATTTAACAACTTCCTCAGTAGCATTAGTAATTCTAGGCATCTTTAGACACCCTTTTCTGAAAACATTAAAAACACAACAACAGATAAACTCCATAAGCATTCAGGGTTACACTGTTAAGTTTCAGGGTGCTTGTTTTCTCCCTTAGAATATCAAGAAAAGAGAAGCAATATATAATCTAATATTTTTAATTTTATGTACAGGAATATAATGTATGACATCTTTGTACATGAAATACATACAGTATTTAAACATTAAAATCAAGCAGATAAGAATTTACATTAGCAATGACATTGACTGATCTGCAGCCCAGTTAATATTTAGTATAGATCTGCATTTTAATGGGGATGCTTTTAATAGTTTACAATCATAGAAACATAGACATTTAAAACAAGACTTTATAAAATAATTTACAGAAATCCTACCATCTACATAGAGAGAAAGTGTTTCTGTGTGGTTTTGTATGTGAATAACAAGGTGGTTGAATGACTTCTCAGCCTTTTAAGTAATAAAATAATTTAGAAGCAGTTCATGCAATATGGAAGCAAAAGAATGGCAGTTTCTTCAAGGTTTCTTGCTACCTTTGCCATCTACTGAGCATCAAATGTGGACTGCTTGACACATGATAATACAACTGCTGGATGCCAATAAAGAGCACCAGGCTCAGCCCCTCCAAACCAGTACTTATGTAAACATAAATATACAAGTTGATATATTTTCTACACAGTACAAATACAGGTCACAACTTCTCAGCTGTGTAAGTAGTCAATCTGTATACTTAAAGTAAGATAACGTTCAGATTAGAGTTCCATATATTTTTATATACAAGGTCACTAACAGAACTTCCTTGTTTTCACTAGTTTGCTCTGATATTTGACTGAATGTCCTCCATGCCCTATGACATAAACATCCAGCAGGTAGGACTTGCCAGGCTGCAGACCTTTAATTGTCTCTGTTGTCACTGCTTTTTGTATATTCTGGCTATGAAAATATTTACAGAGGACTTTTTCTGATTTCTTCCTTGTGTTTGGACCCAAGCACTGGTTCTGTTGTCTTTTCTTTTGTTCTTCATTGTAATTGTCATCCACTTCCTTTCTATAGATGCAAAATTTATTTCTCTCCTGTGTGCCTAGCCATGCCACTGTGACTGAAGAACATGTGCGAAGTTTGTCAAAGGCTTTGATTCTGGTATCTTCGGGGAGAGAAGGAAATGACTGCTTATTAGGTCTTGTTGTAGCCAAAATCTTCAACATGGAGGCACCTTTCTTACTTCCTTTCAGCCTAATTAGATATTTAGCTTTTGGTTTTCCTCTCAGTTGGAACTGACGGACACCCTCAACGTTCTGGGACAAGATAAGTTTTCCACCTCTTCTAACCTGGATCTGCACAGCATCTAGGCATGAATGAACAAAGAAGGTGACCTTTTGGTGTGATGAAACAGGAGCAAACCGTAAAAATTTGGCTCCCTTTCTTTTGATGAATACATCTGTGACTTTTCCATCTTTCAGTTCAACTGTCTTCTGTTTGGCTTCCTCTTTAGTTCGGGCAAAGGTGCCAACATAGGCAGTGCTCATATTTGTGTCAATATTAACTGCAAACATGTCAAAGTAGTATTGTGTATCAGGTTTCAAATCAGAAACTGTGAAGATGTTCTTGTTCCCAATACAAATTTTCTGCAGATCAACCCTCGGCTTTGGAGGAATGTGGCGCCCAAGCTTTGAAGATTTTATGAAGCTACGTTCTTTGCCAGAATTATTTTCTGATGGAAAGCCAAAATGGGCAAAGTCAAATGGACTGAAATCCAGACCTGGTTTTGGAGCCATCATGAAGGCATCATCAGAATTGAGCTTAGCTTCAACAGCACAGAGGCTTTTGAAATTGTGTTCTTTATTGATGACTATACAATATTGAATAGGTTGTTTCAATAAAGATGCTGTAGGAGTTGGTTTCCATGCCAATGTGACTGTTGTGCGTCCAAGCGAGGTGACATCAACTCTCGGATCATAAGGTAATTCAGGATAAGGTTGGTCTGACTCTGGAGTTGTAGTGGCATATACTTTAAAGTGTGTATCTTTCTCTGTTGACAGGAGTTCTAACTGGTACAAGCCAGATGGGGAACTGGAGGACACAAAGTACTCAACATCATTTCCTTTGTAAGAGAACAGCTCTGTGCTTTCTTCATTAATAATCTGCTGTTTCTGCTGCTCAAGTGGTTCTGGTTCACCTAGATTATGACCAAAGAAAAATGTTTGTAAGAAAATATGTCATTATACAGTTCCATGAGAAAATGAAACTCGAATAGCTACTTTAAGTAAAATATCAGAACCAGATGAAACAGGTGGGTATGGGGAACAGGACTTCCAGTCAGAACTAATAATCAGTCAAAAATAGACTGGCTCTGGTAGTTCTTTTTGCTTAAATACCTATTAAATTGTAATATCATTACCTCCAAATACTGTATAGCTCAGAGAACAAGAATGCATTGTTGAATTAGTGTTACAACAATAGTCATCCACATGGTGCTAGTAAGGGAAAAGGTTTTTTTAAATCCATATGTCACAAAAGGTGTCTTACTGTAAAGACACAATCTCTCCCTTTTCCATGGGGCTCCTTAGTTATTGTTTTCTTCTGAATATATTTTCTGACCTCTTTAGTCTTGGAGCCTGTAACAGGTGGGGCCTTCCTGGGGCTAGTTTGATGCTGGTCCGCCCGCCTGTCTCTGGGCTAACCACCTGCCTCTCTTTCCTGCTACGACTTGATAATACATAATTATGGTGTTAATTGGTGGGAGGCTGCCCATTTTTGCACCCCAATGTTTAGGGGGATCTCTGCAGCTCCATTCCACCCCTATACTGCGACCCAAGCCTCGCAGATGGCATCTTAGACAGC